ATATTAATGAGTAAATACACTTTTTATTTCAAAAAAGAAAAACAAAATTGATTTTAAAAAATGAAATAAAGAAATTAACTAACCTAAACCAACCCTCACCCATGTTTGAGTAGTTAATTTAGGTAATTAATTTCTTTGTTAATTTTTAATAAATAATTTCTTTGTTATAACCTAATTATACCATGTGTCTTTTATCTAGGCTACCACTTGGACTAATGTGCTACCTTTTTTTGGCTTTTAATAATATATAGATAGATTATTGGCATATTACTTTTTTAATATTTTTGTCTACTAATTTTTTTATAATATAATAGTAGATATATATTTTATTACTTTTAAAAATATTTTTTTATTTAAATAATTTTAAATATATATATATATATATATATATATATATATATATATATATATATATATATATTCAAAATAAATAACCAATAACTAATTATTAACTAAATAACTATTTAGTAACTAATCATGTGGCTTTTTTAAGGCTGCCACTTGGTAAGCCCTGTCCTTTTAATAATACTAGTACAGTACCTGCTGGGAATACGTCTATTTGGAATACGTCTAATTAATAATCATATGGGAGCAGCTGTTAACTCTATTTGGAATACGTCGACAGATAGGAAGTTGGCAAGAGGAAACTACATGGATGATAACAAGAACTAGGAGCAGGAAAGAACTGTGGAAGATCCTGGAAAATGCATTTGCAGCAACAGTATATCAAATATGGTTGGAAAGAAACCTACGAAGATTTCAACAGGCAAAAAGAGAATGTAGGGAGATACTTAGAGAAATTATACTTCATATACATATTAGAGGTGAGAACTATTGTAAATGGAGAGAAGTATTAGCAAAGATAAATAGGTATCCATGTTAGCATGGATAGTAAGTTCTGGATGTGGAACTTAAGTGTGTTAAAAAGGCTATTTTTGTAGGACCCGACTCTAGAGTCAAATGAGCGGGCGGACGTAAATATTTCACTTGGTTAAATACAATTTCACAGTTTAACAAAAAAAAAATACTAGTACAGTACCCGCGCGATGCGCGAACAAAAGTTGAGAAAAAAATTATAATAAATAATTCTTACTTGCTTGACCATCTCATATTTTTATAATTTGATCAATCGTAAAATTTAAACCATTTGAGCCATAGTCGTTGATAATAAGGCAACTAAGGTAGAAAAAATTATTTTATCCACCCTAAATTGCCGTAAGATCTTGTGTTATGTGCAATGAGATTCAAATATAACTTAACTTACTATAATTAAGTGATTTAATTAAGTAAAAGTATGCCTTTATAATAATGATTAAGTAACAGAAGTGCATGGGTAATCACATATAATGTATTTAATATTTTTCTATAAACACTTGGTGCTAACAAGTTTTTATCCTAATATACATAGAGTGCAAAATAACAATAAGATTAAGGGATACTTTAATCCCTCCTACTTCTTCCTCCAAAGAAAGCATGCATTAAATCCTTGAACATATGTCAGGGAAGATGGTCATGGCAACACTTTAATCAAATGGTTCTCTCTTACCTTGTGATCGACTTTGAAGAAGCTCGTCATGTCCCTAAAAATACAAATTCCCTCCCTAGATAACTTAGTCTCTTAGCTTTTTAGAGTAGTTTTTGTTAAGATTGCACATTTCCTTTTCTTATAATTCAATATATAAATCAAGCTCTTTGAGGAAGAAAAAAGTAGGGAAATGGCTTGGATACAAAAGGACTTTCCTTGGAGGTGTTCTTCTAGAAACCACAACCTTATTTGGATAAGAATCATAAACTACACGAACCTGATTTCCAATACAAACTACAGGTCTCCTTGGCTTATTTTTAGTTTTAGAACTCCAAGCCCAAGAAAAAGCCGAAAGCAATTAAAATTAATCAAAATTACATTTATTTGCTCTATTTCTCCATGCGAGTTCGGCATGAAAACTATATATAGCTTCACCAGTAACATACCAACTCAACCTCCATCCCCAGTTGATATAGAGAGAAAAGATATTATGAAATCACATTTATAGTTTAGAAAGGCATAGCTAGCAAGTAAAGATTAGCTCATCTTGGAGATTAGTATTTCAAGAAACTTGAAGAATTACGCTGCAAGTTGGGTCTAACTATATGAATTCTCACTAACCCAAAGCCTATCTTCCATCAACTTGGAAGCCACCCTTTTTATCCCATCTTCAAATGTGATCTCTCGTACAGTGAGATAAACCAATTACACTTGTTATGTAATTGTCTACATTCACTGTATTACAAAAAAATATATAGATAAGCTAACTAACACACTTACCTAACAAAGGATCAAGAATTTAAGAGTATAAAAGTGAAAGTAATTTTTTAATTCAAATGTCGAAAACATCTTACAACTAACAAAAGAATTACTTTCCTACCCATGTATTATGAAAATAATTCACCAAAAAAAGACTTCAATATCTATTATCGATGTGTAATGTTACTGAAGTAAGTATAACTATCACATTTTTTCTATCAATATGGCTCCCATAGAAATTGAATATGGAGGCACGTACCAAAACAAAAAGAATATAACTATGATTGAGGGATGATTGGAGTTAATTCAGTTGCAAGTTGCAACCACATGTTTAATCTCATTTTTAATCTACACTTTCAATGGGCATATGGTAGCTTTCTCGGAATGTCAAGTAAATTCATGGAGAGGCTGGAAACAATCCATATACATTCAATTGGGCTACTGCAAAATGTACAAAAGATATCCATAAATCAAAGACAACAAACACAAAATTATTAGTTGTTGTCTTCTTAAATTTAGTAGTAAAAGAAAAAAAAAAGTATAAGAAAGGAAAGAGACAGAGAGCGCAACAAAGAAAACCTAGGAAAGAATTGAAGAAGATGAATAAACAGAAAAATATCCTAAGTCCTTGGTGGTCATATCTTATCTATGCTTTATAATCCTCATTCGAATTCTCTCAATCCTGAAATTGAGAGAATGGTACAACCCAAAGTAGTGATGAAAGGAATAGAAACTTCTTTAAATTTTGTTTGTGTCTCTGAATGTCAACCAACAATGAAACTTTTTTAAGAACTTTTAGAGAAAGCTTACAGAATGTTTAGTGTTGGTTCAACTCTTTTGTTGCTTACTGTGCCGACTCCAATATTTCCTCCAAGTGACTCTTACATGTTACATTATATAAGGTGCTCACCGTCACTTTATTATATCCTATTTGATCATTGAAATACCTTTTTAAAAACTATGGATATATGACATAAAAATTACATATAGAAAAATTATTTGCAGAAACTAAAGTGGAAAATAATATAAAGTTGCCAAATTTTACATCCTTACATAAAGAGAATTCTAATGGAAGATAGGAACTAAGAAGTTCCATAAAATTGTAGCCTGCAAAAAAGTAATATTCTGGGCATGCTATAATCCTCTTAATATAACATGACCCACATTAAATGAAGACTTATAAAGAAGAGAACTTAACATAATTTTTCGCTGGCCATAGAGATTCCTTCAATATTTACATCCATATAGGTCTTCGAAATAGAAGAAGAATCAGGCAATACCCGTGAAGTTGAGATTTTTGAAACTGTATTTTTCAATATATCAGAAAGATTTGATGAATTATGAAGCCATCGTTCAAAAGTTGTAGTAAGGAATATATTTTATTTAAGAGTAAAGAGAATGAAAAATAATATTTTGAAGAACAACCGGCATGAAAAATAACTGCGTAGGAGAACGTGGATTAGGATTGTTATACCAACCCACGTTTGAAATTATGCAGCGTGGTTTAATTTTGGGGTATTTTTTTTTTCTTTTTTACATATCTGTGTAAAGAGTAGAACGTGGATTAGGATTGTTATATCAACCCACGTTTGGAATTATGCAGTGTGGTTTAATTTTGTGGTATTTATTTTTTTTCCTTTTTTACATATCTGTGTAAAGAGTAATAATTAAGTATATAAATAAAGTTCAAAACAAAAGTTTTGGAATTGGCAGAAAGAAACGTGATTTAAAATTTTTACAATAAGTATTAACTGTCAAGTTTTTACCTTTTAAAAAAAATCGAAATAACTGCCAGCATTAAAAAATTTATAATTTTTTAAAATAGATTTTGAAACTCCAACAAAATTGGAGAATTGTCCAAAAAAATTACACATGTCAATTTAATGTTATGCCACTTATCATTATAACATTTCTTTGCCTCTCCTATTATATATAAATAGATACAGATCAATTTTAGCATTTAAAAATACTTTTCAACACCTAATACTTATCAGGTACTCTAAATCAGTTAAGCCAAACGGGCTTACGTCAATCTGTGTTAGATTGGAAAAAAATCCATATTCAAGAGTAAATGATACTCCAAGACCAAGAGTCAATGATCAAACTTAAATGCTACAGCCTACAGTTAAAAGATAGAGACTATAGTCAATAACAATGCGAGTCAAGCCACTCGTGACTCTGTCAATTCCAAAACTGCCATTACTAATTACATTAGAGTTGCATTTACTGTTCAAATCTACATTCAGTTAAATGGAAAAAACTTATTTACACTCAGTAAGTATTAAATGCTACTAATAAATTTTTTCCTAATAAAGTACGAATTCTATTCACATAGAAGCTTTCATTTTTGTACATTTCTTCACGGTACACTCTCATCCATATTTTTTTTTTTCCAAAATGGAAAAAATAATGACGTTGAGAGATCCAATTACTGCAATCCACGTAAGTCTGGAATAGAAAAATATTTATATTTAAGACTGAAATGATAGAGCCAATAATCAAACTTAAATAAAAAGAAAAAGAGAAAATACAAATAATTAATATTCCTGCTAAGCTCTTTTTCTAAATGGAAGTCAAGCCATGTGTCAATGACTCAATTCCAACGACTCCACTATTACTCACTCATTTTCCAATTCAAGGATATAATTGTCATTTCAGACCCCATGAATCTTCCACCCCAGTCACTACGCATCCCTCAGCATTCCCCACCTCACCCCTTTATAATTTTCCAACGCTCTACATCCTCTCTAATCCTACGCACTCCTCAACTAACCTTACACACCAGACAACATAAAAAGACTAAATTTTAGACATCGGTACTCGCTATCGTGCGCATTTCTCCGGCAACGGGAAAATCGTACTTAACTTTGTGTTTTTTTTAAGACCAGGAATCGTAGGAAATGGGTGGTGCCGGCGGGAACGGGAACGGCGGAGGGGGAGGGCCGCAACAGTCGGGTACGGCGGAGGCACAGTACTCAACGGCGAGGATTTCGGTGTGGTGGGATATAGAAAACTGTCAAGTACCTAGAGGATCTGATCCTCACGCGATTGCTCAGAATATAAGTTCTGCTCTTGTGAATATGAACTATTGTGGACCCGTTTCAATTTCTGCTTACGGCGATACTACTAAGATCTCTCCTTCTGTTCAGCAGGCGCTTAATAGTACTGGAATCGCCCTTAATCATGTTCCTGCAGGTATACTTTCGTGGACTGATGCGTAAAAATACATATTTTTTGTTTGCATGGTTGTTAATTTGTGTAATTATAATGAAATGACTTCTTTTCAGTTGATTTGATGTCTGCTTGAGTTGATCTATGTTGAGGGTAAATGAAATTGTGTGATTGAACAGGATCTGTTAGATCTAGTTGAATTTTGGCTTTTTGATTGTCTTTGGTGCTGATTCTTAAGTCAACGGAGTGTCTATGATGGTCTAAAGCGCTTGATTGACTCTTGGAATCTATGCATGCGTCGATCTGATTTTCCTGTGTCTGAATCCTCACAGTCAGATCCAAAATTGCATTTTGTCCGATGATAAATAACCAAGTTTTTAAATTTATAAAACAAAATATTTTTATTAGGTCACTCAAAATAAAAGGAAGTAATGATCGTGTTTCTTTGCTTTACTTTTCTTTCAACCCCCTACCAGTGACAGGGATGAGGTGTTTGGTATCTGTTTAGCACAGGTTGAAAACTGTTATGAGTTGCTGATCGTTTGTTTCGTAATTGTAGAGCTTATCTTCTATAAATCGTGAAGAAACCAAAATAGTGGTCTGAGCGAGATCCAGGATTTTAAGTCATTGCGTGGGAGTACTACTGGGCAGTCCATTCTCTTTGATGACAATGGAAGTGGACTATCTATAGATGTTTTTTTTTTCAAAAATAAAAATAAAATGTTAAGTATATGTAGTATGATCTAGGAGTACATGGTCCATTAATAAATTCTTTTCCTGAAAATTTCTTTGAAAGTTATTTCCTTGAGCTAGTAGGAGCCTATGTTTTCCATTCTAAACATATTCAATTCATTGATATTTGCTTAAATTTAGCATTTTATATCAGTGCTCGCTATGTGTTAAAACTTTATAGTCTGACTGGTCACATATGCTGCCTTACAGCTTTGTACAAAAGTGAGAATTTAGAGTTGATATGTGGTTTCTTTAGTAGATTCTTATCTTAATCTAATACCGTTATTTGGTTGATCCCTTTTCAGTGCCAGCTAACTAAAGTATTAAGCTTACCTCTATTGATGGTTGTTAACTAAGTGAATAGCTAACTGAGTCTTAAGATAACGTTTGGAGGTGGTGTATACACTAAGAGAAAACCAGTGTGTTCATGATTCTTATTTTTAGCACTTGTGGTGGCTTGATTAAATCTGTTTAGAACTGCTTGGAGTCAACTTTGACTAATTTTGGACCAAATGTGTATAGGTGTCAAAGATGCAAGTGATAAGAAAATTCTTGTGGACATGTTATTTTGGGCAGTTGACAATCCTGCACCTGCTAATTATTTGTTGATTTCGGGAGATCGTGACTTTTCAAACGCACTTCATCAATTACGCATGCGCAGATATAATATTCTTCTAGCACAACCTCAAAAAGCATCTGTGCCACTTGTTGCTGCTGCGAAGACTGTATGGCTCTGGACAAGCCTTTCAGCTGGAGGACCGCCTTTGACAAATAGTGAATCAAGTCAACTTGTAAATAGCAGTTACAGTTCTTTAGCCACTTCAGATGCATTATCTACGTCATCTAGTGATTCCAGTCTGATAAGCCAGGCTGTTGATACTTTCCATCAAAGCCCGCAAATGAAGTTTAACAATGGGGGAAGGGGTACCGATAATAAACAAAAGGGCAGACCAGTCCGTAAAAGTGTGAATCAACCCAATATATCACGAACTTCATCTGCAATGTCCGGCACACAAGAAAATCGTAGTGCTGCAAACTTTCATCAACCAGGATATGGGTATCCTAAGCAGTTCAATGATTCAGTGGAGTTGCCTGGAGCTCATAATTCAAGAACTCCATTCAGTGGGCCCGTATCTGCCTCGAGCGGTGGTCCTGGTAATCTCGAGCCTTCCTGGACAAATGGAAACAACTCACAGAGCAGTTATCAAAATAATTATCCTCCAGTAAGGCCAAACAACCTCCCAGCATCGCCGGTAATTCCACCTGGTAATTTCTTACCACCTAATTCGCATGTGCATCATTCTCAGCCAATGCCTCCTAGGTCTGATGCACAAGGCTTCTCCTCAGGCCTTCAAATACCTATGCCTGATGTGGGTAAGCTAAAAATCAGTGAAAACTCCAACAATGGTCATAATCGTCCTTTTTCTCAATCGTGGAATGGAGAATCGAGACAACCTCCTCAGAGTGAGAATTCTTATACTAACATAAATGGGCCTCAGAAAGGAAACAATTTGCAGAAGAAAACACCATTTTACCTTGAAAAAGAGGTTAACAGGTATCCACATCCCAGCCCTGAGATTCCACCACCACTATCATCTGTAACAAATAGCAGTAATGGACCGCTCAACGGTGTGTGGGGAGCTCCAGGATGCCCAAAACCTTCTGAGTATGTTCAAGGTCTTATTGGAGTCATTTTACTTGCATTGAACACCCTAAAAAATGAGAAGATTATGCCTACTGAAGCAAACATTGCAGATTGCATCAAATATGGAGATCCAAAACACCGCAATGCTGATGTTAAGAAGGCTCTTGCAAGCGCAGTTGAACAACAGCTGGTAGTAACAAAGAATTTAGGTGCTTCGCAATTATTATATGTTGGTAAAAATGAGAACGTATGGAAGTGTGTGAACCCTATTAGTGGTAATCCGAAACATTATCCCAAAGAAGCATGGGATGACCTCCAGAAATTTCTATCATCTTCTGCTGGAAGAGCCGCCATAAGTGCTACTCGGTGCAGGTAATGGGATCTCATTTAAGTTGAACCTTCTCGGATTTTGGTGGATGTTGGAGAGGTTTCAAAACTATTCATTTAGTTGTGTAGGACATCCAATTAAAAATTTGATAACGTTGTATTGAGGAAAAAGCTTTTAGTTCAGGATAATGCCGAACATGCTTTTTTTGTTAGGTCCTATAAAGATAGTTTCTCATGTGTATCTGGCTGATATAATCTAATTTGAACTTGCTTATTTACTTGATTCTTCACTAGGTTTGAAGCAGCTACAGTTATTAAGAAAATGTGCTTAAAGGAGGTTGCTTTAGGCGAAATACTTCAGATCTTGCATATGGTTATTAACACGAAGAAATGGCTTGTACAACATCAATCCGGGTGGCAACCAATTAAGATTACTCTAGCAGAGATCGTCCCCGACTCGGGGGTCGTAGCTGCGACATAAGATCTGCAACATTTGGTTATGGACGGGAGAGATGGCTTATGGGTTCTTCTTATCAGTTCCTTCATGCACTTATCAACTGAACTGGTAACAGATCAATCTAGCCCATTTCTCCTCTTAAAGTGTCGCATAGATTAAGTAGCTGTATTTATGTTAATTAGATTGTTCTGAAGTAGATATAGTTATAGTTTGGCTGTTCCTTCTTTTTCCTGGGAAATCAGAAAGCACTGTGGTGGGAGCTATGTTGGATGTTTTAATAAAGCCTTCTGAGGCGTTGGGCTTTGGCTGGAATTCTAGAATATCTTAAGCAAGAGATTGCTATCACGTGGTTGGTGCTTCGTATTTTGGGCTATTGCTTTATTGCCCGGTTATTGGTTATTGATTAAGCGGATCAATATATGTGGAAAGTTGCTAACAGTGATTGAGGGACTTTCCAGTAAAACTGTTATTCAGGAACTTTTTGAGTAACATATGTGAGAGTATCCTAGTTCTAAATCAAAGTTGCTAACAGTGATTCAGGCGCTATCCAGCTGAACAGTGATTCAGGAACTCTTTGAGTAACATTAGTGAGGATGTCCTAGTTGCTCTTGTATCTAACATAGAGGTTTTGAAGCTATGAATCTCAGAGCAGGTAGTAGGTATACAATTCAGTGAGAAGGATAAGCTTGTCTGCTTTATATTGAGGGAAAAAGTACTGGAGTCGATGACTCTAAAACTGTCGGAGACGAGTTATTACAGAGCAGGTATCCGGTATACAATTAATTGAGATGGATATGCTTGGTTTATATCGAGGGCGAGAATACTGGAGTTAAAGACTCTGAAGCTGTTGGAGCCGAGTTATTATTAGACTAGTCTTTAAAGTTGTATCTTGCAGTATGAAGATATTCAGATCTTTGCTTTCTGGTCAGAGAATTTAAGGTCCTCTACCCTTGTGTTTCAACAAACAGGACTATGCGAACAAAACTTATGTGGCAGATTATGGTATTATGCAACTGTTAAATGAGAGTTTGTGGGAAGACCTAAAATTCCTTCAACCGTATCACACTTTTCACTTGCAATTATGGAAGAAGTTAGAGACAAACGACTGCGTCCTTCGTCACTTCAACACAGTTGTCATTGAAGGTTTGTTAATCTAGTTATGGATTATTGTATTTATCATCAAGCTGACAGCATACAAAAAGAGTTGTATGCTTCATCTCACTGCATGCTTAAGGTTTCATTCCCCCCTTGCTGTTTTAAATTATTGTAGATATATGTTGTAGTGGCCGGAACTGGAAGGAGATCATTTTCAGCAGTAACTTTTAAAATAAAGCTTTACTTCGTTCTACATTTATTTGTTGCAGCGACTTTAGTTCTGTCTCTTTAGTTACTTGGTAATACAAAAAATCATTCCCTTGAGTATGTGTAATTTGCGCCTTATTATATAGAATTGTGTTCTAAAAAAATTGATTTCTGCTGGTTTTATCAAGACTTGAAGTTTCTATAAAAATCTCTAGTATTTGACGCAAATGATCACATAAATTTAAAGGGTTTTCTAATTTCATCCTTAAATATAGTATTGAGCATATACCCTCTCTGTTTTTGTTTCTGGTGCAATCTTGCTTTGGGGCTAATAGAAACAAAAGGAATTTACTTTATATAACTACTCCGGAAATTAAACAGAAACAGCTTAATATAGTTCTTCCCCATACCAGAAGCTAACATAAGGTCTCTTTTGGTGCTATGGGTTTCATTATTTTGTACGCCGACTGTAAAGTCCAAAGGGGTTGGTTGTAACCTGTGAATGAGGATGAAATTTTGAGAAGATCATAAGAATGCTTAACTGTGGGGCCATATTTGCAAATTCATGAGAATAATTCAGCGGCAACAAGTATAGCGGGAAGCCGAATCTGAATGCAATCCGTGGTTAGCATAAAAACTTGGTCTATTTAAAATTAAAAAGTAAGCAAAATTTGCAACCACAGATCTTCTGGTTTCCTTATGTATAGTGAATAAAACGTTCACGTACAGCTAGAAAAGAATGAGACAAACACAGGATTAGAGAAGGAATCTTTTAGGAGAAAGATAAAAGGAAGAAGACTAGAAAATCTTCGTTTGACGAGAAAGTACTTGTTAGAACATTAACACAAAAGAGGTTTCCGAAGTATAAACACCTTCAAGGGAAAGAAAAGCATTTTGCGATGTGAACCAAAAATTTGACCTCAGGAAATAAATTTGATCCATTGCTCTTATGTCTAATATCTGGATTTACTTCTAAAGATTATACACTTGAACAAAAAAGAGGGGAAAAAAAACTTCCAATCAGTAACAGTACTCAAGCTGCCCAAATCAAAGTAGAGAGATCAATCCATTTGGCCCTAAATAGGAACCCTATTCGGGTGCCTAAAACTTTTTGATGAACACAGACGTCGTTTGGGCTAACGAAGCTGTAATGCCTAAGGGGAAATAAATAACCTCTTGTAGTGATATGTCTTGATGCAAAAGAAAGAAAAAACTCTAAGATCATTCAAATTGAAGCTAAATTCATCTCCCCGATTTGGTCACTGGCCAATTGAATTGTCACGTATACAATTCAAACATGAACATTTTTAAAAAAATGGAAAGAACATGAGTATAATACCCAAGTCTGCATCGCCAAAATGTTGCTTTGTCCTTTTACCCCTTCCCAGGCCAAATATTGGTTAATCAACAAGGTTGAATGAATTCAACAACTTTTAAACGTTTAGAGACTTTTAGAGGGATGGACAAGAGAGAGACTACGAGAGGGGTCACCTTTATAAACTTGACAACTATGAGGCAGCTAATTCTTATCTCCCTGAAACTCATGGACTAAAGAGCAAATACTCCTTTTAGTAGTCTATTTATTGAGTTTATTTTGTTTACTTGATTACACTTCCCTTCAACATTACCGATTCTGGTTCCCCTGATTCTGTTCCCTGTTCAGAATTCAGTTCTGTACTGTTTTCAGCATTCTCCATTTCACCTCAACTTTGCTTAACTCTCGTATTTTGTCCATCTCAATATTCTTTAGTTTTTTTTTTAATATTTACTATTTAAATGTATTTTTTTCTTTGAAATATAAGTGACCACTGAGCAGAGACGGAGCAACGTCAATGGTGATAAAGCTCTCAACTTTAAAGCTTCCCAAGAAAATCCCCAACTGGGTTTGTTCAAAACCCTCTCTTTCTTCACTTTCTGGTGCTTGTAGAATTCAAATCATCCCCGAAACCAATCAGCCCTCTACCCCTTCTTCTGACTTCGATACAAAGATTCAATTTTTAAAGAATAAGCTTCACCCTGAAACTTTAGCCACCGTTCTTGATTCCACAACTGATTTGGATTCTTCATTGAAGCTATTCAAATGGGCTTCCCTTCAAAAAAAGTTTCATCACTCCGCTGATACTTATTTTCAGATAATCTTGAAGCTAGGTATGGCTGGTAAAGTAGAAGAAATTGAAGGTTTTTGTAATGAGATGATAAAGGAGAAATGTCCAAATTATGAACAGGTTCTTTTGGCTTTGTTAGATGCATTTGTTAGAAATAGTAGGCTTAGTGAGGCTTTGTGTGTTCTTTCTTGTATAAATTTGAGTAGCTTAAAGCTCTCTATATCTGAATTTAATCAATTATTAGGTGCACTTATCAAGGAAAAGAAAGAATTTAAGGATGTATTATTCGTGTATAAGGAGATTGTGAAAGCTGGAATTGGTCCCAATATTGATACACTTAATTATATGATAGAGGCTTTGTTTGCTGCCAATCGTGTCGATGCTGCATTGGATCAATACAAACGTCTTCATAAGAAAGGTTGTAATCCTAACGGAAGGACTTTTCAGATAATTATTGGCGAACTTGTTGCGAGGGGTAGAGTGGATGAGGCACTTGTAATTTTGGATGATATGTTTAGAATACGGTGTGAACCGAATTATTCTAGCTTTTATGCTCATATAATTCCTTTATTTTGTGAGTTGAATAAATTAGATGTAGTAACGAGGTTGTTCTCTATGATGAGAGAATCTAAGGTTCTTCCGGATACACCAACTTATGGGTCAATGATAAAGTGTTTGCGCGAGAATCTTCTCGTGGTTGATGCTGTAAAACTTGTAGATGAGATGGTGTATAGTGATGTTAGGCCAGATGATGATGTGTTCATGAGTATAATAGATGGATTATGTGAATTGAATATGTTGAGTGAAGCTAAGGAGTTTTTGAATGACAAAGAAGTTGCAAGTGTATTGCCTTACAATGCACTTCTTGAAGCTATTCTAGATGATGGCACCTTTAGTATGGCCAGAGATCTGTTTGATGAAATGCTTGAGAGAAACATCACTAATGAGTCTTCTTGGAATATCATGATTAGATACCTGTGTGATAATAAAAGGCTGAATGACGCCTTGAAGTATCTTGCTAGGATGATTGTTTCCTCGGTTAGCCCTGATTCATCAACATATTCTGCTCTCATCATTGGCAACTGCAAATTAGGTGAATGTGAGGATGCTTTGGCTTTGTTTCATCTACTTAGTGCCAAAGCTGGGTTAAATATAGATTTGGTATCATATGCTCAACTTATTGAGTGTCTTTGCCAGAAGGAAAAGATTCAGGAAGCTGCTGAAGTATTTTGCTTCATGTCAACAAGGAAATGCGCTCTTGAGTCCATCCCGTTTGACAAGCTTATGAAGGGACTTTGTACTAGTGGCTACGCTGGTAGAGCAATCAAATTGCTACCATTGGCATATTATTCTGGTACATTGTCTTCTACTGCTGCTTACAACAGCGTATTGCAAGGCCTATTCAGTTTAGGCAGAGCAAGTGATCTCTTTATAGTGATCTCGAGAATGATCATAGATGGCTGTACCCTGGATGGGGAAACATATTGCATTCTCATTCGGGGCATGACTTCACTTGGGCATATAGAGAAGTCCGCCCTGTTCTTCGATTCAATGCTTAGTCGGGGTCTATCACCAGATTCAGAAACACTTGCTGAACTTCTAGAATATCTGGTGAAAAACTCTCAGGTCCATGTGATACTTTCTTCAGTAGATAAACTCGTCTCAGAATTTGAAGTTGTTGATTCAGCTATGTACAACATGCTGATAAATGCCCTCTTGAAAGAGGGATACAAAACCAAGGCCTCTTTCTTGCTGGATTTGATGCTGGAAAAGGGATGGGTCCCTGATGCTAGTACTCACGCTTTATTAGTCGGTTCCAGCGCGGAAGATGAAACAGATACCAAAAGGCCTTCCCATGACAATTTGATCACACAGGATACTGTTGACGATATACTTGCTGAAGGTTTGGGGAATTCAGATGGACCTGACTACAGACTATAACACTGTAATTGGTGATGTTGTTTCAGCAATAACCTTGAATGGTACGTAAATGTAGAATATAGGTGGTCTGAAGCAAATTATGATGCATGTTCTCCAAATCTTCCGTTAGATACCTGCTTCAATTTTCAAGACTGATCTACAAACCACACCTAAAAGTAAGTTCCTTCTGTTGTTTATTTCTTCCAGTTTCTTGCATAAACTTTACAAATACTTTGATGTCTTAATAGCTTTATAAAGTTAATCAGTTTAGTTTTATCCTAATTGTTAATCATTTTTGTAAGGCGAAGCTAGAGTCTTGTAAGGGTGGTCAATTGACCACCCTTTATCGGAAAATTACACCGTATATATAGGTAAAATATTAGATTTTAAAGGTATATAATATATATTGAACATCCTTTGTCCGGAATGTTTTTTACTTCTTTTAAGTTTGAACACCCTTGAAAAAATTCCTGGCTTCGCCACCGGATGACATTACCTTCTCAATGGGGTTTTAATGTTTATCATACTTCTGAAAATTATGTCTTCTGATAGTTGTTAGTTAAACTATAAGAAGGAAATTTTTATGATAGTTCAGAGTTTATGCCGTGATACTCATTTTGCTGCGGTTACTTCACATTTGTAAAGTCAATTCTCAATATTTGCATCATACTGCTAAAGATCCTTCACAAAAGAGATGTTTCGGAATGTTCTACCTCAAAACTAATCTTTACTGGCCCTTATCAAAACTGATCTTTTACTGGCTGAGACGAGAACAATTGACTGCAGATAGAACAACAGCTTTCTTTAATTTGCTCTACACTTTTGTGGGATGAAAGAACCACTTCAAATGTACAGTTAAAAATTTGATCTAGCCTGCTTTTAAAAAATCTAATGCCACTTTTAAGCTTCTCAATATTTAACTTCAATCAATCACTTCATCAATTTTTGTAACTTGATATATATCCAAATCCAATGTAATTCTTATTACATTCCATTCCAGTAGTTTGGAAGCTGGAAAAAGATGTCTGCCATATGTTTGAATTGTCTATTGATTATGATGTACACATTGTGAAGTCTTGCTGTAACTAATAAACTAATAGCTGAATATTAATATCGATTATGAAGTGACAATGAAAGCTGGCTTGACATCCAGTGTTTAGCATTCCTATCAGCAGCGATGAATTATAATACCTTTCTCGCTCTTATCAGTTTAGTATCACTGCAGGTGAACAGACTTTTTTCCGTAGTAATGGTGGTGTTTGAACCAGCTCACACGCACGTCGACTAATGCACTGGGTACCTTCTACCTCTCACCAGCACAAGTAACATGTAACTATGTCCACAAAGGCTTAGATTGATGAGAAGAAATCACCAAACATTTTTGCCTCTTCTGGGATGCAGGTGATTAGTATACTACTACAACCAATATTAAGGTCAACTGTATCATATGCTGAGTCCCCACTTTGTGGGATTTTACTGGGTCGTTGTATCATATGCTGAGCAACTATGCAGTTGTAGCTGTTGAGAAATATGTGCTCAGCTCAATTTGTCTGAGCTCAATTCTTGTGTGCTCGGCTCATCTCTATCTGTTGGAGGCTACAAGCTATGTTCAGATCTTAACATTCTTTCGATAGGCTGCGGCCTCAGATCAGGCAAGTCCAAGCTCGGCTAGAGATATTAAGAAGGAAGCTCAGAACGCTGTTTAGTACTTGCACTCAAGCTGTGCCTGAAATGTACTCGTTCAACATTGTATTCAGAACAGAAATGAATGAAATAGTGATTCTTCGTTCTTTCGAATATCTTAACAGCAGATAAGCAGAAAAAATATTGACTGTAAACTGCTAAGTTTATATATGGTACTTGCATGCAGAAGGTTTGTATGGGTCAAAATCCGCCTTTAGAATATTCAGGCCGAGATAACATTATGAGAAGGATCCTCAAGTCATCATTTAAGATGGTCCGAGAAGCCGCACAAGCCTGTGGTCGAGGAGAGCCGCAGTCAAGGCACCAACAAGGATCAAGGTCGAGGTCGAGTACCGGCGATAGAGCTGTAACGGCTAGTTCTCAAGATAGGATCTGAAAAAGAATATTCTAGTGGATATTCTAGCGAATATTCCTTACATTTGTACTATTAGGGTTTCTTGGGAAGATATCCCATATAAATAGAAAAAGGAGACAGAATAGAGGGGCACGTGAGAATCATTTGGAAGGATAGCACTTTGACAAAGATTCGGTCTTCACTCAATACAAAGATATACTTTTCACTGAGATTCTTATCTACCGTTTACCATCGGATCTGAGAAATCCTTGGTGATTTTAGGATTTGTCACTCAATCATTGTCAAGTGAAAGGTTTATTTATTCCACCCTTTATTGATTGAATCATTGCTCTTATCTATTTAAATGCCATTTATTATTGTTCGTTGAATATTATATGTTACACCACTGTTCTTGATTTTTCAAAGCACTTATCACATAGTGTCACTGCTATCCGCATAAACGCATATCAGTTAAGTACTTTTTTTCTAATATTAAGATCTAAGGATATTATTCTTATTTCTTAACTAGGATTAACTTTTGTTTATATAAATTTAATTATTTGAACTAAGATTTATATTTTTGGTCAAACAGGTCGTAGATAATTGATCAGTCTAAACTCTTAATCACTCTTAACTGTTGCTCCTATGCTTTCTAGATAAAGCTCTTAACCATCAAATTTCTTTATCTAAGAGTAGAGAAAAGTTCTCCAGCTGAAGTCAGAGATGAGTTTAAGCCAATTTTTGCCATATGGTCCTCACCAATATTTAATTTAAACTTTTAAGTACTCCCTCCGGTCTAAAATAAGTGATTTTTTTGTCTTTTTCTTGTGGTCCAAAATAAGTGATTTTTTCAGATTTCAAGAATGAATTAATTATTTTTTTCCTACATTGTCCTAGGAGTAAATAGTGTTGGAATATGTGTTAGGAGTGTTTATGTGAGATAATAAAGGTTAATATGGTCAATTTCATTGCTAATTAATGTTAAAAGGTGAATTTCTTAATCTGTGTGAAAACATCCAAAAAAAATCACTTATTTTGGACCGGAGGAAGTACACCATAAGTGTCCAAAAATAGAAGCATTAAATGGTGGCGATTCTATTTAATGCAAGTGTTGGCTCACCTTTAACTTTCTTTTTTTAATCCCAATATATTTGGATCTTTGACCAATTTCTAGTTCTTCACTTCCCACACTTGGCGATTTCCAAAAAATAAATAAGAACAACACATGTGGAGCTTTTTTCAACCAAGCGTTATTGAATTTTTTTTTCCATAGATATACTAATCCAAATGTATTTTTAAATCTTTGTCCAAATGAGTATAAAATTTCTATGTAATTGTGTTTTATTAGACATCATCTCGTCGATAATTATGCACATTAAACGAGTAACTGGACTAATATAACCCCCTTTAAAACGTCATCGTTTGGCTTGAGTAGTAGTCAGCCAATCAAAAAGCACCTCCTTTGTCTCCCTCCCTCGTCTTCCTCACCATGAAACCCTAATTTTCTCTCCTATCGAAAAACATTGAAAACACCTTTTTCTCTCCTTCTCCGAAAAAACACAGAATCATCACAAATATACATGAAGTTACTCTTCAGATTTCACTTTTCGATGTTTCATCTTCTCTTACAATCTCAAAAATGACAAAACAAAACTTCACCACTATCCCCGTCGCCCCTCTCCCCGTCCCCACCACATGCGGCAACTGCGGCGTGGAGGAACGGTGTTTTCTCCACCACATCCGTCACCGAGGAATATTCCGGCGACTTTGCACTAACTGTGTCCTCAGACTCAACACTCAATCATTTTGCCCTACTTGCTTGCTCGTTTACGACCCTTCCCCTCCCCCTTCCTCTTCCTCAAACGGCCTCGTTTCATGCCAAAAATGCTATTCACTCTCTCACAACTCCTGCGTGGGCCTCAACCCTCCTCACCCTTACGTTTGTTCCCTTTGTGTTAACCCTAATTCCCCTGTTTTTTCCCTCAAAAAGGGAAAAGATGTTGTCGGTGTGGATAATGAGGATGCTATGGTTATTGATAAGCAGGCAGCTAGGGTTTTGTTAACGGCCGCGAGGATCGCCGCCGGGACTATGAATAAAGCTGCTGTGGCTGCTAAGGTGGAGGCGGAGAGGAGGGCGAAGGACGCTGCATTTACTAGGAAACGAGCTAGGGAGGCTTTAGATCATGTTGCTTACCTTGATGCTAGGGATAAAATGAAGAAGAAGGATGTTGTATTGCGGTTGCCTTCGAATGTGAACAACAGAGGCAGTAGTAACAATAATCAATGCCTTAGTATGGTTGTAGCTGCTGTGCCATTGGAGGAGGTGAATAATGTCCTGAATGCGAATGCCGCAGATAGGTTGGATGGTTCTTCTGAGGTTTTAATAGCTTTGAATGCTGTGGACTTGAAAGGGCAGAATCCAGTCCCAGGGTTACCTAATGGGTCTGCAATGGATGTGGAGATGAACAGGGGTGCAATGGTGACCCCTACTACATCTGCTATTAATCATAGCGGTGCTACTGGAGCTGAGGAGGACAAGTCTGGGGAACTGGAGTGTTCGAATGGCCAAAGGGAGATGGTAAACGACACCAAACAGGATCAAGATCAGCATATGGTAAATCCCAATGCTGGGAAATCGAATGGTAGTATCTCGCGTCAATAATTTGTAGCATGAATAATGGTAAGATCAAGGTGGGATTAGAAAGATGTTGATTTGTGTAATCGAGTTATGATTTTGCGATTACTTGTGGCGTAATTGCCTTTTTTCGCAGGTCACATTGCTCGCAAGAAATCTAGTGTCTGGGCATTCTATCTGTCTGAATGTGAAGACTTGGACATGGTGGGTGTGGGTAGTTTTTGTTAGACTAAGGATAATATTCGTACAGTATTTTCTTGTGTAGAGAGAGACGTTCTTTTACTTTTATCTAATGAAAGGCCAGTTCCATGCGTTAGTGCTTCCCTGAATCTGCTCAGGCTTGTTTTGTTAGTTTGGAGAGACTTCGCTTCATGCTTTCTACATTATTTTACTGCCATTAATCAATTTGTCCTTGTGCTACCTTTGAGCTTGCTACTATTGTACTTCAATTGCATCAAACTTGCAAGGCATATTTCTGATAGTTGTTTTTGCTTGAATTGATGGATCAAGTGGCTTTTCTTCTTACCTTTTTCTGGCATTCTATAGTGCTGTTTGATGAAGTATTAGAGTGAATAATGTTCTGAACCAAGGAATGTCTATTGAGCAGAATAGTGTAAATGTGTGCATTCAAGGTGGATCTTAGCCTATGAAACTTGTCATCTTGTTGAATTCATATTAACTACTTTTGTCCTGTGCCAAGTAGAAAAATTATGTCTCAAATGCTCAAGAAAAGGAGGTCGTGGAAAGAAGATATCAAATTGAAAAGCCTTGGCATCATTCTTTGCATGATGCGTTATGCCTTTGATTTTCTTATTCAGCTCAGGTTGTTTTGAAAAGCTCTGGTGATTTTGCTATGTTCTTCTGTTTTGTCGTTGCAGAGTATAGTCAAGAAAGATGGTTCATTCTGTTTATAGTAATGATTCTGAATATATTTCAGAATTTTGATGGGTTACAGAGTTGCTCTCGATTTGAATCCTTTGGGATGTCTTTTTCCTTTTTTAACGTGCCTGCGTATGTATGCTTCTCCTGAAGGAGGATAGCCTTGTTAATCTAGTAGTTTCGGGGAGAGTATCTGAATATTAGGCAGAGTGGTTGACCATGACACAGTTTTCAATTGGCCGTATAGACTGTCAGATTCATCTGAATTTAGGAGGTTGCAGTTTCCATTTTAGCTCTTTCATTCCAAAGCTTTTGTAATACCTGCATTAATGCTTTGTTTGTTCATATCCCTTAACTTACCAAAGATGTGATATTAGAGCTCCCTTACACTAAGTATACCATCAGTGGGAACTTTGCTTTCTGGTTGGGAAGTGTCTCGTTTCTTTTTTTGTTACTTTTCATTCATATCTGAAGCTATGCTTCACATGAATCCTTCCAACAATTTAGGTATCAGGTAATGCTACCTACCTGCCCATCAATGCTTAGGCACTTAGGAAGATATAACCTTAGTTTTGTTGCCGCAACTGGTGCTTGATCCCTGGACATATCCAACCGTGAGACTAGTTAGAATTTGATTAGACTGTATTTACGTATCTTTTCTTATGTAATTTTGTTTATCGATTTATCCTCTATTCTAATTTATATGATATGAGACTTTCACAAGATTTAAGAATTCTATTCAATTAAATTGTAATGTGCTGGTCATACGATGAACTTAATTCCTTTTTTAATTTTCAGTTATTACTTTATTATTTTATTTCCACCGATAACGTCGATATCTCCATGATGATTACTTGCGAAGGTAAAATTTTAAAAGTTAACATTATATCTAAAGATGATGAGACAGAGTTCAATTAAAACACTACAATATTTACTACCTTATCAACTGTCCATATAAAGTTTATCCCAAAAAATCACGTTACAGCTAATCTCCAATCTAAATCAAATAATCTCCACTACTCAAACTCTATAAAATACTAAACCATAGCTCATTCCATTTCCACCACATTCACTTTTCTTTCTATTTTTAGTACCTCACCCATTCTTTCTCATCATGGCTAAGTCAAGTTCCATTGTAATATCTCTCTCTTTGCATATGTGTGTCATTGATGATCAGCAGTGGAGAAGCAAGTTCCTTCTCATATAGCTATGGATGGGGTCCTGGGCAGCCAATTCAAGGGTTCATACAATTATAATCCAGGCAATGGTGTTTCCTACTCTAACCCTTATGGCAGCTATAGCTCTCCATATTTTCCTTATTACTTTCCTCCTTGGTTTCCTTTTCCACCAAACTTTCCTGGATATTCTCCTTATCCTCAACAGCAAACTGCTGCTCAAGATGTCCCACAACAAGCTGCTACTCATAATGTCCCACAACAAGATTCAAAGCATTAAAACTTTTTTTAGTATTTGGAGGGTTCTTTTCTTCACCTTAATTTTTCCTATGAATAAAGGTTAGATTATGTTATTAGGGTTTAACTTGGTTGGGAATTTCATCAACTTTCTTAGGAGTTTTGATTAGGGTAGATTGCTGTTTCTAGTAGTTTCTTTTTATGGTCGATTTATAACTTAAGACACAAATAAATAATTTTGTCTCTATGTTCTTAATTGGTTTTTGCCATTGAGTCATGATGTTTCTTTGTAAGTTTGTTATTAATTAATTATTTCAAGATTCTATCGACCCATCTAACTATCGTGCCGCACATTTTATCTTATAATGTTGAGATCAGTAAATCTATTCTTCAGTAGCCAGCTATTGTTATTGTAGA